CCCCCCCCCCACTCTCCCATATCGTCCCCAGAACTGTCAATCCCGTTGTTTTCTCCTCCAGAGTATTCATCCGGCCTATCTTATTTAGACAGACCTGCAAAGATAATAACATGCATAAAAACAAGACAGCAAAACAAAACAACAAAAGAAAACAAAACAACAAAAAGCAAATAACAAAAAAACAAAAAAGAAAAGTCTGTAGTTAGCTCAAGGACTGTTTGTTGGCCTTTAGGAGTGTTTTCCGGTTGAATCTGATGGGGTGCCAAGCCTCGGGCCCAAAGTCTATTTTTGGTATTCCCTGGGGACTTCGTTGCTCTGTTCCCCTTGCTGTTCTGTTGCACGCCCTTAGTGTTTTGCCTCGGTGTGGAGGGATCAGATCAGGCACAATTCCCACATTGTGTCTCCAGTGTTGTTCCCTGTAGGGCTATGGGTCAGGGAGGGATGTCGTGTCTCCTAGTGGGGCCGGCTGTATGGTCTTTTCTGTGGATTGACTGCTCTGAGCGAGAATAGCATCCTCAAGGCTTGGTGGGCCAGGATGTGCTCCACTCTCTCTTCTTCCCTCTTCATTTGCTCCCGTGTGCTTTGATCAGACATGTCCTGGAGCTGCAGCTTCAGTGCTGTCCGCTGAAATAAATTATTCTGGGGGTAGGGGCAGGTGTCCAAGAAGTTAGGATTGGGGCCGTCCCCTCAGACCTCTCCACTGGTTCCCTACTCCATGCCGGTGTGTGGCATTCACATATTGAGCGCCGACACTGCCCATTCTTTCACTCTCCTCATATTTAGTTGTGGATTGGGCCTCAGTGATCCATAGGTTTTCATTGGTTGATTTTTGGAAATAGACTGCCTGGCCTTTCTTCCAAGTCTGGGAGCACCTGAAATCTATTCAGCATCATAGCAATATGTACATCTCCAGTGGCAGATGAGTGGTGGCTGTGCTTGAGGTCAACTGGCTGGGACTTAAACCCAGGCCTTCTGCATGGAAGGCAAGGGAGCCAAGTGGCTGGCAGCTAACAACGCAACAGTAACTTAGTTAAGGAAAACGGGGATGGTCTATCTGAGGAGGTGATACTCATGCTGATATCTGAGGGGCGAATGCAGAGAGAACTACAGTGCAAGCTGGGGGAGCGCACCCAGAAGGTAACAGTCAGAGAGAAGATACCTCTTGGAGTCTATATGGTCAGACCTAAAAATGCCATGGGCCACCTTTGACCCTCACGATCCCCAGAGACCTCACCAGGGGTTCCCCTGCTGTCACCGGATGGCTCCCCACCCAAAGGGAAAGACCCCCCACTGGCCAGTTCCCTTGTCAGCTGGACCAGCTGGATTCCACCCCATCTTCAACCTAAGAGGTTTCACTTCCCACAAAATTATTCAGACATGCCAATCACATTCTCTCACAGGAAACAGGCTTCCCTACCCTCTTGTAACTGCAGGACTGGCTGTCCACAGCCTCTCGCAGTGCACTCAGGTCCCAAGTACAACCCCCACGTGGCCGTGCATGAAATGTGGTGTCTCCTCCTCTGGGCTGTATGTACATGTAATTATAAACTGCTAAAAAAACTGCCGCCAATCCCACCTGACAAGTGGCAAGTGTTGAGCATTCGCCAGTCTCAGCATACTAGGCTGAGAGTCTCTGCCTCACCCTTGTAAGAAGAGGAGATGGTCAAATCCAGGCAAGGAAGTCAAGGAAGCAGAAGGAAGTCAGGGGTGCTGGAGTATACTTAGCAAGGGAATATTGACCCACGATGATATCAAGTGGACCGA